ATAACTTTGTATTGGACCAGGGACCAGAGAAAAAGGTAAAACAGAGAAATGAGCTCCACTGTCTAGGAGGAAAATGGCCTTTTGTTTTTCTGCCATTATGGCTCCTCAACAATGATGCCAAGAAGTGGAGTGTGGCCAGGAGGCTTGGACCCATCAATCCCTAGGAGGAAGCACCTCGCCTTCCATCTAGAGGCGGGGGCACTTAGACCTCCAGTGGTTACCCTTGCAGAGGGCAGGGTCCGGTTGGGGAGAGGCTGTCTCCCAGCTGTCCCCCCTTAAGCCATTCTTCTGCAGAAGTGCCCCTCACTGCCCACCATGGTTAGCAAGTTCAGGATACAGCCCCAGTCAGGTGGGGCCCTCTCTGAGAGCAGCAATGAGGCCATGGTGTCTCTTATCTTTTTCTCTCCTGTTAGTAAGGTCCTGGACATACAGACGTAGCCATAAATACAGACATGGCTAGCTGTATTACTTGGTTCAATGACTTTTTCCTTTAGCCACAGTCCCAATTTTTTACGAATATCTGGGACTGTTAGAAATTTATCTTTGAGGAGAACCGCTCTCACCTGTGACTCTGAGTCCACTGTGGTATGCTTTCTGATAGGTTGTTGCTGTAAAGTAAATTTGTTATTTTACATTGACACCTGACACTCTGGAGAGCAAATCTCTGAACTGTTCTGGGCCTCAGTTTCCTCACTTGAAGAATGAGGGATCTGGTCTAGCTAGGTTAAACTATGTTTTTCCACTATGAGATGGCTGAAGTGATATGCCACTTATCTTCTTTACCATTTTTTATTTTTTTTTTTAGTAATGCTGGGGAATTGAACCCAGGGCTTTGCACATGCTGGGCAGACATTCTCCCATTGAGCTACTTCCTCAGCCCCAAATATTATTATTATTATTATTTCTTACCTTGGCTGTACTGGGCTTGAACTCAGGACTTTCTGCTTGTAAAGTGGCACTCTACTGCTTGAGCCTTTTTTTTATTATTCATATGTGCATACAAGGCTTGGGTCATTTCTCCCCGCTGCCCCCACCCCCTCCCTCTCCCCCCCACCCCTCAATACCCAGCAGAAACTATTTTGCCCTTATTTCTAATTTTGTTGGAGAGTATAAGCAATAATAGAAAGGAATAAGTGGTTTTGCTGGTTGAGATGAGGATAGCTATACAGGGAGTTGACTCACATTAATTTCCTGTGCGTGTGTGTTTCCTTCTAGGTTAATTTTTGAGCTACCTTTTCTCTAGTTCCTGGTCCCCTTTTCCAATTGGCCTCAGTTGCTTTTAAGGTATTTGCTTTAGTTTCTCTGCGTTAAGGGCAACAAATGCTAGCTAATTTTTTAGGTGTCTTACCTATCCTCACCCCTTCCTTGTGTGCTCTCGCTTTTATCATGTGATCAAAGTCCAATCCCATTGTTGTGTTTGCCCTTGATCTAATGTCCACATATGAGGGAGAACATCTGATTTTTGGTCTTTTGGGCCAGGCTAACCTCACTCAGAATTATGTTCTCCAATTCCATCCATTTACCAGCGAATGATAACATTTCGTTCTTCTTCGTGGCTGCATAAAATTCCATTGTGTATAGATAGCACATTTTCTTAATCCATTCACCAGTGGTGGGGCATCTTGGCTGTTTCCATAACTTGGCTATTGTGAATAGTGCCACAATAAACATGGGTGTGCAGGTGCCTCTGGAGTAACCTGTGTCACAGTCTTTTGGGTATATCCCCAAGAGTGGTATTGCTGGATCAAATGGTAGATCGATGTCTAGCTTTTTAAGTAGCCTCCAAATTTTTTTCCAGAGTGGTTGTACTAGTCTACATTCCCACCAATAGTGTATGAGGGTTCCTTTTTCCCCCGAATCCTCGCCAACACCTGTTGTTGGTGGTGTTGCTAATGATGGCTGTTCTAAACTACTTGAGCCTTATAATCATTTCCAACCTGAGTGGCCTGGGCCAGAACCCATTGCTTTTCTAATGAGAGAAATTTGAATAGGGGACCTCAGTTTACTTTTTTTTTTTTTTTGCTTTTATAGAAAAGGCCTAATTGGAGTGTGGTATTGTAATTTAAGGAACCCTGTAAAAGCCACTTCTCTTGGTCACCCAAGGCATACTGAGGCCAGGCCTCAGTACAAAGCTTCCAACATCTGCCAGCCAGAAGACTGGAAGATGCAGGTCCCATCTAGAAAGAACAAAACGTTAGGATCCTGTCTTTTAGCTAACAGCAGGCAGCCTCTTTAATAAAGGCTACCTTTTTAACAAAGAAATAAATCATTTGTAAAGTTAGAGGAGGGCATTCAGAGGGCATTTCAGGCCAATAACAGTGCCATATGGGACAATTAGTATTAATATTTGGAGGGAAAAATTTATGCTGAGGCCAAAGGTATAGGAAATTCTAAATGAGAAATTTAGAGACCACAGTAATGTCTATTTAGTTATTTCTGGAACTATAACCTTGAGCTAACAATTGACTTACAAGGGTCTGATGCCCTGAGGTGTGAGGTGGGGCTAGGAGCAGGACTTGTGCAAGGTGCTACTCCCTCCACACACAGCTGGGACAAATGACCCTGACTGCCTAAGCCTGATCCTCACTGGTTTTAGAATAGAGACAAGTGAAAAGAATCATGAAGTGACCCAAGTAAGAGCTGAAGGTAGTCAGAATCAAGGAACACTCAAGAAGGTATATGTAGTATAAATGAGAAAGCGTAACAGGCAAACTTAAGATGGGAAGATTGTTCTTTACTCAATCACAGTTCTTGTGATCGTGGAAGGAGAGAAGAGAAAGCTTCATGAGCAGCTCCATATCTAGAGTCTAACCAATGCTAGAACAGTGGGAGTCACTGTTAGGCTAACAGGGATGATTTGAGTTGGTCATCAGGGTTTTGGAAGAGAAAAGGTTACTAAGTAAACACACCAAAGTGATCTGGAAGGCTTACATCCTTACTGGACTCCAGAGAATTTTACTCTCAGACTGAAAGACAAGTCAGATTGAAGGCAAGGGAGTAAAAGACACGTTTCTTAGTATGTTAAGAGCTAAGAAATTCAGCACAGAAGGGAGGACTTAAAAGGTGCAGGATGAGGAAAAAGGTGGTGAGGAAATGCTAGAAGTTAGATCTTCTAAGGAGTCAAGAAGCTGGATCACCACACAATGTCTACAGACTCTCTTCACACCCTTTGCATATCTATCACTTGTTCACATCTATGCTTCTTAAAGGACATGAGAAACTATGACAGAAGCTGCCTATAGTATGGATGAGTTTATTTTGGTTTTCTTACTGAAATGGGCTTGGTGCCAATGGCATTGGATCAAACCAGGTGCCACTGTCAATGCATTTTAACAACAGGCTTATTGTGAGTCAGGCACCTTGGAAAAGGGATTATGGCCTCCAGTGTAACCATGCATGCCTCCCCGAGAGATTACCTGTCAAAGCCAGCCAAGGTTGATAATAGTGAAAACTGCCCATGTCCTTATGTTTCTCGAAATCTAAAGTAAATTTGCCATTGAGGAGAAACAAAGCAATGAGCATTAACTGAGAAGTTTTCATGTTTTAAATATACCTTTATTTCTCAAACTCAAAGCTTTATTTCATCAAGTTCTAACATATTTGCATTGACAAAAGATCTCATCTGCATCAAGGAAGAAGGTGAGTGACCATTACCAAAGAGGAAACACACATACCTCTGCTCTGTTAAGGAATGTTTCAAAGGTTATGCAAATGTAGAACAAAAGAGTGTCCAATTTGGTCTAATGAATATCTGCCTTTTCATCCATATTAATTTGGATATAAATAGCTGCTTTGGGGGAAATTAAGTTTTCATCCTTAAAAAAAAAAATCAGATAGCTGGAATTTTTTTTTAAATGACCAAAGATCCTGTTATTTAGCCTCTTCCCCTTTAGTGGATGGTCATTCACCTTCCTATGCAAACACACTTGAAAATTGGCACCGACCCTCAAAAGCCCAGGCAAAACCCCAAGCATTTTCTTTAAGCTTACACAAGCTACTTTTTTTTTTTTTAAAGTGATAACTAGAGAGGCAAGGCATCCATTCAAATGGCGGCTACCATGGGAACTAGTGCTGCTGGTGATCACTGGATGAGGATGGCCTTGAGGGGTCCCCAAGGTGGCAGACCCCCTGTGGAGAGAGCACTTACAGGTGCTGCCTCTACAGGTAATTGCTAAGGCAAAGGCAGGCAGTCTTCGCTCTGGTCCTCTATTCTCTCCCCAGAATTCCAGGTCAGTGCTAAGGGGTCTTGGAAGAAAGGGCACAGGAAAGTGCCTCTGCCTGAACCTGGAAGCAGGACTTCAGGGACACTTGCCTTCATCCATCAGTCCAGTTGGCATTAAGAATCTGGCAGATATTTTTAGAAACTAATACACATGAAATGCCTAGAAATCAAACGAGCATCCAAAGGACTACTTAGGTTCTTAACAGTCTTTTTAAAAATAAATTGCTGCCAAAATGTCAGTACACACTGCTCAGAACAGAAATAACACTGACATCCTTGATCTTCCTCTTCCCCGAAGAGCTCAGCACTGAATGCCTCACCACAGTGGCTGACTTAAGTTGCATTTGAAGTCAAATATGTCAGAATGGCAAAATGATGATCCGTTGTTGAGATCTACAAGTAAAATCAGAGACCTAAATAGCCCTTATGTTATTTCTGCCTGTAAAAAAAAAAAAAAAAAAAAAAAATCAGGAGATATGCTCCTTACCCCACGCCCTGTAGATAGATTCATACTTCAGAGAAGAGCTACGAGGAACAAAGAATCTTTACTTGTCAGTGAATTGAGAGACCCACTGAAAACACAGAAGAAATAAGCCTGCCACATACCCACACTAAAACGCCACTCTGTGGAAAATAACAAGGAACGCAGCAGGTGGAACAAAATAATTGGGCTTCCCAAGAAACTAGGACAAATGCAAAGATTGCAAACAACAATCAAAACTCTTTTGTTGTGTCTTCTGCAAGTTTAGCTGAAGACTCAAATGACATTGAAATGATGGTTGATGAGAAATACAAAGAAAATGCAGGGAAAATGAAAATGTGGCACACAAAAGTCTTAAAAGCCGTAGAGCGCCCACTAGTTTCCAGGGTTAGATTAAAGTTGTTAGTTCAAGACTCTTGGCAAGAAACCTATTCAGAGCAAGTTGGTTATCAAGGTATCGGGAACAGGAAACTTACATTATAGAAGTATCAGGAAGGACACTGCAAACAAATTCAAAAAAAATTTGGACACTTAGGAAAAAAGAACCCATACACAAATTGCCACCAAAGCATGGCCTGCCTCAGGTTAAAAGCCCAGCTACATCAATACTGAAAAATAGTTTCAAAAAAGTTAAACAAAAGCCAAAAAGTTCTCTTCTGGCAAATAAAAGGGAAAGGTCACAAAAAAATACACTCTGTCCTGAAGAAAGTAGTTCAGTTTAGAACATCTCTGTAGAAGCAGACCCCTTAAAAGTAGAGACTATTAAAAAGAATGTTTAAAAAGTAGAGAATAGTTAAGTGACCATGGTAGTACCTATAAGGCCTTTCAGCAAAAAAAGGTATTGAAAAAGCATCCCATGTGGTCTTCGTGATGCAGAAGAAAATATGAAATATGAAAGTGTTTCATCCTGGTCTTTTGATGAGTGTCACCCTCATTATGCTGCCAGATCACTGCGTATCAGACACTAGCAACACCACTCCTACAAAACCCTCTGAAATCCATGCCACCTGTCTCTGCTTATGATCAAGCTGGATGGAAAATCATACACAATGATTGGATTTAGTGAACAACCAGGAAAAAGATCTTTGTGAAGATCTTTTTGCTCAAGTAGCCAAAACATAAGCCCTAGAGGTCAGCTACCATTTTGAAATGAGTTTCTTTGAAGTATATAATGAAAAAAATTCATGTAAAGGCACAGCCAGATAAAGAAAACCACCACTGAGAATAAGCATGCATTCAACTTCCCAACCATATGTTAAAGAGCTGTCCATGAAAGGAAAGTCCTCAGTTCTTATTCTGATGTCCCAAGTTGGGTGGAATTGGGAAATAAAGAGCAACTGCTGCTACTGGTATGAGTGATCAAAGTTCCCATTCGTATTCAGTTTTTATCTTGATGATGACCTAGACCAAAACAGGATTCACGGAAGGAAAAGAACATGATCACCAAATAACTAGCTGCCTAAACCTGATGGATGGGGCAGGCAGTGAACACTGTGCTACATCCCACACTACTTGAGATCAACTGAAAGAAGGTGTGAGCATTAACAAGTCCTTGCCTGAACTTGTATGTGCATTCTGAACAAGCAAATGGAAAAGGGTTCTTATTCTTTATTGTCAATCTGTTCTTCCATGGCTATTACAAAAAAGTTGGGGTGGAGATTAAAAAATTACAATGATTGCTATGATCAGTCCAGCTGCCAGCTATACATAAAGAAACACCAAGCACTCAGCTAGGCTAACTAAGCTCATTTGATAATCAACATCACCAAAGTAAATGAAGACATAAAGTTAATCACAGAAATTGAAATGCTAAAATCTGCTTGGAAAAAAATGATCGGGATATTGACCACGAATGCTACCGGCCAGAAATAACATCCTTAGGAATGAAACTCCATCAACTGGAAAGAGACATGGGAGAAATGCAAAGAATAGGGAAAGAAAAGTCTGAGCAAACTGAAAAAAAGAAAACTTAAATAAAAGAGTTACAAAAAAACAGGCGTTACATTTTAATGGACAACCATCTACCAAACCATGTAAATCTCAGTGAAGATCACAATTCCTAGAGATGGTGCTATGTATGATAAAAGATGGAAAAATTCCAGTTGCAAAGTATAAATCAAACTCTAGCCATGACATTCAATACTCTGGAATGCTGGTTGCTGATGATCATTGTACAATCAAAAAATTTGAAGGGACAATGAATATTATCCCAGTTGAGGAAGCAGACAAATATAAATGGAAAACATATTTTGGAACCCAGCCATGGTGACTGGGTGATTCTTGGTGGAGATCATTATTTTAGATTTAATTATCCAGTTGACATCCAAAAAAGGGATATCCGGTAGAGGTATTCTTGCTAGTGAGGGTTCAAAAGATCTTAAATGTGCCAAAAATGAGTTACTTTATGGCACAACTTGAAACAGAAATAAAAGAGGCCTGGTTGAAGGCAAAGGAAGAAATGATGCAAGGAATGCAAATTGCAAAAGAAATGTCTTAGCAAGAGAGTTCTTCCCAAAAAGCTGTGTATGAAAGCAAAATATGAGCACTGGAAGCAGAACTGAGAGAAGTCTCTCGAAGGGGAAAAAAACGCAGGAAATAAGTAAACAAAAGGCTAATCACAAAATTGAGGAATTAGAAAAAGCGAAGCAACATTTTGAACAGGAACTACATATCAACAGAAATGCAGTTAGAAATGAAGGCTTTGGCTGTAAAGCAGACTTTAGAAGACCAAACAAGATTTCTGGAAACCTCAGAAACTGAAAAGCCAAAATTGCTAAGTAGAATCAGAGTAATTGTATAGAACTTTTATAACTGAGCCAAAGTGGAGTTCTATGAAACTCTCAGCGATGATTTAGATAGCCAATAACATCAGCAAATAAAAAAACGTAGTTATGTTTTTAGCAGACAGGATACCATCTGACAAAGGTAGTTTTGACAGTTCTAATCTGGTCCATCGCCTGCAATTTGGGATCTCAGCTTTCTAGAGTCTGGAAAAATCTGATTCTAAATTTGCAGAAATTGAAAGATTATACTTTATCAGTGTAATGGTAGTAACAGAGATGAAGATGTCTTTTGTGATCTCGAAGATGAATGGGAACTTGACGTCACAAATGTACCAGTTTCTTCAGTTTCTAGAAGGAGGTTGCCATAGTGAGCAAGAGACTAGGTCAGAATGTTATTTCATCAATAGCAACTCCAAAAGACTCTTCTGGGATATTGAAAATTTTCCATAAATTATTACTGTATAGTTTCAGTGATTGAGAATGCACATAAAGAATCTTTATGCTTTTAATTTAGTAAAATTCATATAGAAATAGTGTCCCTTTTTAATTCTTGTAAGTTAAAAACAAAGTTGGAAAATGAATTGCCAAATAAAATATTTATCATGAGGGGAAAAATGTGATAGGTAAGCAAGATGTAGGCACTTGAATTCACCAAAAAAGGGCCCTTTCTTTTCTTAGAAATCTCCACAAATAATCCTGAGAAGTTGCCAGACATTTTAAAATACTTCCCTATACCCTCATTTGGTCCTCTGAACTTAATTGGTTGGGTTGGAATATGTTCTGCTCTCTGCTAGATTAAGGATGTGAATCTAACTTTGGAAACTGCAAGTTCTTTCAGCTGACGGAATTCATGCAAAGGGTTTTTGCTTGTGTAGAGCCCCAGTTAGATACCCAGAAAGTAATGGCCCCGGGTGGGCTCTTCTCATGGTTGTATGAGCTAAGAATGTAGGAGCATCCCAAAACAAGGTAGCAATATCAGAAAGTTCTCTAGAAAGGAATTACTCCCAAAGTTAGGAAGTTACATTTCAGTTGCACTATTACCCAATGCTAAAGCAGTACTAGTTAAAATCTTAGCCTATCATGAAGTAAAGGAGATAGGACCTAAGGTAAGGATAAGCAGATCCATGGCTTTAGTAAATTGGTTGGTAAGGCATCACCATAAAATGGGTTCTCACACAGCTCACTGTGACCCAAATCCCCAGTGCAAATCAAACTGGGAGTAAAAAAAAAACAAACCCACAAAACTTGTATGTCAAACAATGTGTGTTCCATAAAATCAGGAGTGATGCACAAGGTTCCCTATGCAACACGTCCCATGTGCCCAGTCCCCAGGTGTGGGCTATGCCACATCCCATATGGAGTCATCAGGAACTCTGATTGGAATGTGTTAGTGACACAAAGTTGCATTTCAGCACTGAAATTATTGAGTGAGGAATAGTGTCTTATTGCCAAGGCAAGATTAAAGGGTGAGACTGAAACTCAAGGCCAGGAATCCAGCATGTGCTCTTCTGCCAACTCAAGGGGAAAATGTACCATGTTCATCCCGCTGCTCCACCTGACTCCAAGAAGTAGGCTGGGAAAACAGGCATCAGAACCCTGAAGCAAACGAGAGACTGCTTACATTTAGATTAGAACTTGTACTTGAACTTGAGTGCCCTCTGCCACTGCCAAGTTTCATGTTACTCAACACACACACACGAAAAAATTGGAACCACTGGATTCAGTACAAGTTCAGGGTATCTGGTGTTGTGTGAGCAGTATGAAAGGCAGGTTTCAGATAACATTTCCAGACATCTGAAATTCAAGGTTACCTGGCCTATCCTGAGGCTAACAAAAGGCTCCCAGAGCAGGCAGAGACATCACTATCAGGGGATTGGGTTTTTAAAGTGTACCTTTGGTCCGTGCATTGTTTTACCCCAATGGTTCTAGAACACATATCAGTTCTCAAAACACAAAACTAACTGGGCTGATTAAAAAGGTCAGAGGAAGAGACCACCAAGTTGGCCATCATTCAATGGCAGTTACGAGCTTGGGGAGCAGGTAGTTTCTCCCACTTTTGTGGGGGTGCACAAGCTTGCTGGGAAAGTGCTCTACCACTTGAATCACTCCGATCTGGGAATTTCTTGTAACTGCTGTGCCTTCCTTCATAGTCATCAGTAGACTATTATCAGATTGGAAATATATATATACATACATATATGTATGTGAACCCCAAGGACAAACTGGAAATTTAATTACTTGATGTAGCTCTATCTTCCTCCAATGCCTCGTTAGTCCCCCAGCCTTCTAAGTAGAAACAATACTGATTTCTCTTAGCAAGTGCTTTGCTGGCAGAGGCTTTGTCACATTTCAAAAGCTTAAACAACTCTGTCATTTTTTGTGCAAATATGTTGAAATGGCAGCATTTCAAGGTCATGGATGACCAGCTAGTTCTCAAAGTTGAGATCACTGCTTGCCTTTTAACACTGAAGCACCTCAGGTCCCCTCATACAACTTGGCCGTGACTCAAAGCTAGTGAATTCAAATGTAGCTAAGGCTCACAGGGAAACACACTAAGAAGTGGCTTCTAGTCACCTAACATGACACAACATGGATGCCAGCTAAGCCCTGTGTTTCAATCACAGGTCCTCTTAAACAAGACATTGTTTAAGAAATCACATTCCAGAAGAAACCTGAAGATTTATCTTTAGAAAAAAGTCAACCACTCATTTTCTACCAAGCATTTCTGCATTAAGATAACTTCAATCACTCAGGGCTTTGGATTTTTATGGCCTCAGGAGAAAATGAAAATTAGGAGCATGGGTTTGCTCAAATCACTTCAGAAACCAAGCTGGCTGGCAATACTGACTATCTTTACCCTTGATACCCTAAATGATGCTCTCTAAAAGATCCCACAAAAGGTTTCTAAACATAAAATCTCTTATCTAAATTTACTGGGGAAAGTAACAGTCGCCTAACCTTCTCCCATTGACTAAGTTTGCTTTAAACTAAAGATTAACACTGTTTTCCTTCCAAAGTGCAGCATGTCAACAAGTGTGGCCAAACCTACCAGAATAAGGAAGAGTGTCCTTCATTCACTCAATTCTTCTGCAAATACACCTGAATTATTTCAAAGTGCCTTGGCACGCCAACACATATGAGGCCAGACTTAATGCTAAATCCCCCTGCCCTCATGTGGCACAGGGACAGGAAGTTAGAATCGAAATCAACTCCACAGGTCACTCAGGTCTACTCAAATTCCTGAATTCATCTGCTGTCAAAAACATCTGGAGAAGGAAATCACAATTTTTTGAAGAAAAAAAAAAAGAAACAAAAAATGGCCAAAGTAGTACAGCAGAACAGCTTGTCATAGTTGGAATGTGACCAAAATGGGTTTCCAATTAAAACACAGGAAGACCCTCATGTCAGCATGACAGTGACTGAAGACAGTACAAGGCTGAGGAAGAGCAACACAAAAGTCAGCCATGATAGAGCTAATGAGGGGGGAAAAAAGTGTCATTCAATAAGAATTCCTTAAGGAAAAGAAAAAAAGAACATTCATGTTTCCTATTTACAATCACCACCCCCCCACCACCACCACAATTCTACTTTATGTTCCACATTTTATTTTGTTTTCAAGTTACATTTCAAGAAAAGGTCATTTTTTTCTCCATAATATCTCGTAATTCCTCAAGATAGCACAGCATCTAAACCATAAACCACTTCCAACCAGGTCTGAAGTCTCCAGCTATTGGCTTTGGTTTATTGATGAAAGAAAGTCTCAGCTCTACTGACGGGGACTAGATGTACACAATGGAGTCCCATGAACAAAAATTCAGTTATAGAGCACCCTCGTGTTTACCTTTTTTTTTTTGTCTGATTAAAACTGACACACATAAGTAAGAGTCTCAGCGCAACTTTCACGTACCTGCCGAGAATCCTGAGTAAGGGCCGACACAGCCTATTCTAGGCTCAGGTGAGAAGTGTGTCTTAACGTTTCTCAAGCCCAAACTCTCCCAATCTCAAACAGCACAGAGCTCAAATGACCATATGCTAAATGTTTGAGATGTGACATGGTGGTGTCTGTCTTGGAAAGCTGTGGCTAGGTTGCACTTACTATTAAATTTTCCAAAGTGGCACTGTCATTGGGTCCTTTTTGAGTTGGCTCATGAAATACTTGTAGACCCATTCCAATGGGCACACAAAGAAAAAAAAAGAAAAGCAGAATCAGAGCTGAGTTCCCCTTTAAAAGCCAAATACCTACATCTAGAAGGAGGCTTCTCTACCTGAGAGGCCATGCCCTACTGGGTCCCCGCTGTAGGACCCTCAGGTCTTAAAGGTTAGTTACAGGGCAGCCAGGTGGGGTAAGGCTGGCTGTAGGTAACTGGAGGATGGGCAATATAGTAGTTGTTGAAGTTGCCATCACTGACATAAGGAGCTGGCTGGTAGTAACAGGTGACGTTGGTGGCATTGGGGATGATGTTCTGTTCTGCCAGCACGCGCAAGGCCAGGAGGGAGATGAGGTTCAGGGTCTGCCTGCGTTCGTGCCCCATGAGGCACACGGTGCTCTCATTCACCACCCTGCGAAGGATCATGAGGTAGTCATACTTGCTTCTCTCTTCCTCAGCAAAGTGGTTTTGAAGATACGTCTCTAGCTTCCTCTGCTGTTCAAGGATGTCCGGGAAGTCGATGAAAAACCTGGAGCACATGTAACGCTCTAGAGTTTTGATCTCCTCCTGGTCCGTGGGCCTGAAGTCCCGCACAAGAAGGTTGCTATACTTGAGAAGTCCCCCACCTCGGATCTCTTCAGGGTTCTTGGTGGCAATCAGTCTGTTCTGCAGGTGGTCAAAGGCTTCTTCAAAGTCCCCATACACACTCTCCCCGATCACGGTGGGGTGGAAGTGCTCAGAGATGGGGTTACTGGAGCAGTCATAGAAAAAAAGCAAAGAATCCAGGATGATCTGGAAAGAGTCCACGCTGAATTCAAACTGACGCCGGATGGAGTCGACGAACTTCAGCTCCACGTTCCTCCCATTCTTGTTGGAGAGGGAAATCAGGCTCCAGCGGTCCGTGTCTGTGCACACCTTCACCAGCTTCTGCACGTAGGCCTCCTTCAGAGTGACCGGGCTGATTTTGAGTTTGTTTACGCCCTCTGGCAGGAAGTTCAGGAGGGAGCACAGAACCACATCTCTGACCAGCTGGAACTCTGCCTCTGTGGGAAGAGCCACATGAAAGATCAGGTCCAGGTCTTTGCAACCCAAGCCGTTGTCTTTGACCAAAACGTGGCCAGCTGCAGAGCCGTTCAGCCGGACGTCCTGCACTTTGATGCCTGCTTCCTCCAGGCGGCTGCGGACAGTCTGGACAATGTCCTTCAGGGTTATCTCCAAGGTGGGAAAGTTGCCTCGTCCATGGATGGGGACAACTTCAGTCAGGACCTCATGCAGCCGGCTAACCTGATCCCAGTTGAGCACACTGAAGGACACGCAGTCCTGGGTGCCACTCTCCTCTGCCATCTTGAGTGATGTTCTGGCCGGGAAAACTAAAAGTGAGAGGTGAGAAACAGTTAGGATTCGAGTCGACATGGCAAAGCAGCTGGAGGGGAGGAAATGCTCATCTGTCTCTGGGCATTTTCTGTACAGTGGCAATAAACAGTTAAATATGCAAAGAATGGTGCCTCCATGGAGTAAGAACTAAGGCACAAACCTTATTAGACATCAGTCTGGATAATGTCATAGCTTTGCTTTCTGTGGGTTTTTGTTTTTGCTGGTTCTATCTGTGTGGGGGTGGAGGTGGAATGGGCTGGCTTGTGTGAAGCAAAGCAGACAAACTTATTAAACCAAATAACCTAAACACAACATTACTTAAAAAGAACCTATAAGCCTCATTCCCAATAAAAATGGGCACTGATGATCAGTGTTCAAATTTGGTCAATGTGGCTAAATTAACACACAAGTCATGCTTCCATCACAGTAAGTGCCTTACAGTAGTGACAATGAGACCTGTAACACTTTGCTTAAAAAAATAACCTATAAAATGAAAAAGGAAAGAGAAAAATATGCTCTGCTAATTTTCTCTGGTCTAAGAAAGTTACTTCTGCTTTTGGCTCCCTAACTACATCTTTAAAAAAAAAAAATTGGGGGGTGGTGCTGGGGATGGAATCTGGGTTCTCATGAATGCCAGGCAAGTGTGCTGCCACAGATATCTGAACTACAACACCCTCACAAAAGGCACCACACACACACACACACACACACACACACACACACACTCCCTTCACTCCACAAATAGACAGATTTTCCACTCTGGGCTGCAACCTCACCAGGAGGTAGGAGTCTGACCTGTTAGACTGACCTGTTAGAGGTAGGAGTCTGACCACTCCTGTTAGAATAAATCAACTTCCCTTAGCAAGATTCCCATGTCCTTCCATGCATGGAAGGAGCAGCCTGTCCTATAACAAATACTTCTGTCACCCAGGGCAGAACCAAGGAGTCACTTGGAGGACAAAAGTTCTGATCAACCAAACGTTAGGTCAGCTATGCAGCAAGGATTCCCTAACACAACCATAGGGAGCATCCTTAAGGCAATGAAATTATCCAACAGTATTTTGTAAAATTTACTTGACGCTATCTGAGGAATATAAAGCTAGCCGTGATTACTAGAAGAAAAACACTTCTCTCACTGCATGTGTGAGCCACACGATTTTTTTTCTTTTTTTGTTGGGGGGAGAGGGGCAAAGAGCGCTGAATGGAACCCAGGGCCTCCAGGCCCTCAAGCAGGCTAGGCAAGTACTCCTACCCCCAGCCCCATTCATTTTCAAGTATGATGTTCTTTCCAAAAAATGAAACACAACGGCTGTTTGGAAACCTTAATATGTAAAATCTTATCAGACAAAAACAAACAGGTTAGAAAGTCAAAGTGCCTGCATACCCCTGTGGGTTGAATGTTAATTAGAAGGATGTAAGAGCCTAAATGAAGGGTCCCAGCACTGTCCTTTGATTTCACCATGAATGGTTTTCCCATCCCCCACACTTTTGGATTTGCCACACTCACACAATCCATCCCAATGCAGTTTCATTGTTTGGAAGCAGCTGCTTTTGAATACACATCAGCATGCCTTCTCCCAGAGTTCCCACATGGACTTCTGGCCTTGCCATTGTGCCAGGACTCTCCATGACTGTCACTCAATACTGTGTCCAGGTACTGCTAGGTACACAGTGACAAGACTTCAGTAGCTTCCCATCATGAAGGCAGTGTGGCATACACAGTTCTGATAGGGGGAAGCAAATTTAACAGAAAGGCCAGATAGAGGATAACCCTAGATTGGAATGAATAGAAAGGCCACAGAGGGTTCACTTATGGACAGGGGACATAAGCCAATGGAAAGGCAATGTGAACTGATGGTGGGACCAAGGAAAAGAAACAGCACACAGCTTGAAATGGCAGGTGTCCAGAGGCCCTGCCCAGGAATCTGCTCAGCTGGAGATGGCAAGCTTGATCCTGTGACCAGAGCAGGCTCTAGAAGAGCTGTCTGGTGACAAGCATTCCTCTGCTTGCTGCAGAAGAACACTTGTCAAAGGGAAGACAAAAGCTTACCTTCACGCCTCTTTAGACAGCATTAAAAAGTCCCTGGCTACTTAGATCAGCCTACCAAGGCATCCTAAGTCATGGATACCAACCCGCTCTATGACTGAACACTTACGTCTATTATGAATGGCATTTGGCTTCTGGTCAGACTTGGGACAGTCGCATTCTTTTTCCTATGCTCTCTGTTCACTCAGTAGTTCTTTGTGGCCCATTTTATGAATGGTACATAGTGCATTTGTACCGTGAATGATGCAAACGTCATCTGGAAGGCATGGTCCGAGCCTTGTTTTGAGACACAGCTAGACTGTGATTTGACAAAGTGGATTTCTGTAAAGTACATCTGCTAACCTACATGAATACAACCTGCTTTGCACCGTCTATCACCTGTTGTACTTTGAAGACTTGATGAATGATTCAGGTATAAGAAGTCACACAGCAACTGAGAAGCTGAAATGCAATCAGCACGAGGGACACGAGAAAAGCTCTGAGAAGAACTTCAATAGTGTTGCAGGGAATAACTTCAGGAGTTACTTTGACTCACGCTTTTAAAAAGAAATAAACATTTTTTTTTTTTTAAAAAGGTAGCTGAGTGCAGTGGCTCATACTTGTAATCCCAGGTATGTGGAGATCGGGAGGATTATGGTTCAAGAACAGCCTGGAGGGCTCTTGGAGTGGCTCAAGCGGAAGAGTGCCTGTCTAATAAGCATGAGGCCCTGAGTTCAAACCCCAGTACTGGGTGAAAAAAGCCATTTGGATTAAAGTCAGGACTACTGTTCCAGAGCATAATTCCCAACATGAGTAGGACACCAAAGACCACAGAGAAGCTGGAAGCCAGACTCTTTCCTTTGGGGGTAAAAAATACAGGTGTGTGAGTCTTCACATAGTTTAACATCTGTGAACTTGTACTAGATTCAAAGTTAGAATCTATTTTAGATTGAGAATTTGTAAGGTTAATTTGGAGGAGGGGCAGGAAAGGCAGAAAGAATTATAAAAATAGGAAAGCTGATATACTAGCCTGCAAGAGATATCACAAAGCCAGAATGAATGAAACAAATGTGTTATCAGCACAAAAAGACAAACTGTTGGGAACAGAATTTTTTAAATATAGAAATAAAATCAAGTACATAAGAAGATTTAGTTTCATGAAGGAGGCATTTCAAAATGGTGAAGGAAACAGGGCAAGATGCCCTCAACACTTGGGAGGAGGCAGGAGAATCAAAAGTTCAAGGCCAGCCCAGGCTACATACCGAGACAAACATGAGCAATGGCTGAGACATATGACATAGTCAACATTACTTAAGGGCCAGGAAAAGTCGAACCTCAACTCATCATTTTCACCCATTATATGGCAAAGATCATTCAGTGTGATATGTGGGAAAGCAGACGTCTCTGGCACACTGTCTGTGGGCTCTCAGGAGAACAACATGAGACTGAGTATGTCAACTTTAAGCAGACATACTCCTTTGATGGAGCACTTCTACTTCTAGAAAGTCTACCTTGAATTTGATCCTCTGTGCAACTTGCAAGCATAAAAACAGACACCTGTTGGAGAACTATTTATAAAACTGCAAGTTCTCATCAATAGGAAATGGTTCAATGATTTAATGCATGTATACAAAGTATACCAACATGTGCTCTTGTTAAAAGAATGGTGGCTGCTCCATCTTCATCAATGTGAAATGATCATCATGGCTCATGGAAAGTACTGAACTCTGTGTGCCCACATTTTTACTTTTACAAGCACATGAAATCTCTGGAAGGGTACAAGTATTTCAGTCTATAACAAATACTCTTTGAATTTAGAACCTATACCTATGTATTAGTTGATAAAAAATTAGAATTTCATGATCCATTTTCTAAAATTTTTCCCTTGTGAGTTTTTCTATTCATCTGCTACTTTATTTAATTTCTTCAATTTTCTCCCACCCTGTCCCCATATCCATATGCCCAAAACCAAATATACTTGGAAGCTTTCCCTACAAGCCCTAATGCTGATCTCTATTGGGGGCGGGGGGATGGAGACAGGAAGGAAAACTGTTTTTCTTCTTGAATGCCTGTTAGTCAAGTTTCTACCCATGAACTTTAAAAAAATAAAGACATACATTGTTTATATTTTTAAAAAATCTCTTATCAAATAAGTCACTCATCTAGGCTCATTCAATGTTAGCAAACAATTTTTATAGTTTCATCAATCTGCTCTTTCTCACTTCAAAATATTGTATCTATCCTAGTGATGCTATGTTGATTACTGGCTAACTACAATAAACACTTTTTCAGGAATTCAAGATGTCTGCAGTTGGTATCTTCATGCCAGCTTCTCCATACAAATATATACAAATATATACAGATATAACACATATATATATATATAATGGAATTCACATTTGGAATAAAGTAGTCAATAAAGAGCATAGTGTGGGGCGTGCACCAATGCCAAGTCTATGATGTAGTTTTTAATACTCCCAATTTACCAAAATTTATATATAAAGAAGCTGCACTGATTTGAAGGCACAAATTTGGGCAGGTTCCTATTAAGTTCTTAGCTCATTAGAAGAACCTGAAATAAGTAATTTGTACCTACTAAGAAGAAATTCATTTTCCCTCACTCATCCAAACAATTTCAAATAACAAAAGTACATTTTCAAGTTATTTAGACAATAATAAATAGCAATTCATCTTGCTATTACAAGATGAATTCCAAGTTATAGGACCTTAGGGCTTAGCTAACACTAGTTAATTAACTGCTTTAAGTCAACACTAATATAATCGCCATATAAAAGAATCACATGAAACACACATTCCAACTCATGAAAGGACCTGGTTAAAGGCGAATTCTAGCTAGCAGAAATAGGAAACTATTCCTAGCAGAATAGTGCCTGGGAAACAAGTTGATTTGAGGTCTAATAAATTCAAACTCGTGTGTGAGAAAGATTCATTGTAGTTTGGCACAGAAGT